TCATCTGTTTTGATTTATACGCTCCTGTAGATATGGAACACACACACACACACACACAGTCCCTCACTCTCTCTGCATTTCAGCCTCTCTTCATGCACTCACACACCCCAATACATCCCGATGCCACATGCCTGCAATGCCCCCTCCCTTCCCTTCAACACCCCCAACACACACATCGGTGTAGAGAATGCGGGGTTCTGCAATGCCTCCCATTGCACACTCAATCAAACCGGCGGCCAGATAAGACGCATGATGAATGGTGTAATTGAAGGCGGCAGCATGGTAATGCTGCATCACTCTGGGTTACAGGGGGAGAGAAGAAGAGTGGCGAGTGGATGATTAGCCTGCAGGATTTATTGTTATTGCCTGTCTTATTAAAAAATACTAAGACTATCTGCCTCGCCTACTGTGGCATACCTCCAATGACAGAGCGTATAGGGCCCTGCTCCTTTGGATGGATGAGCACACAGCACCTATATGGATTTGAGCAGCGAGGTGATTGGAAGTCTGCTCATATCGCAGGGATCCAGTTCAGCTGAACATTAACTCACACTCAGGAGATTTCTTTCCCCTGCTCTCACCTCATCTTTTGTAAGCAAAAGTGACACTTTTCTTTGCTCACTTGAAGCGTCAAAAAGCATTTCAGAGACAGAGAGAGAAACAGAGTACAGTGTATGGAGCGACGGGGGTGAGTGTTCACCTGTAGGTCAGCAGGTAAAGGAAGGAAACAAAACAATTCTACTCCAGGCTACTCTGCGCTCAACAGATCAAACCCTCCCCATTCACATATCAAAAGCTAGCAAAGGGCCCTGACAGGACTGAGCCAGATGCTGTAACAACCACACAGACTCTGTCCTTTGTACTTTGTCCTTTTGCTGAGAGAGCACGTGCAACAGGGTCTCTCCTGTTACTGGCAACACCATCTGATGACCCTGATTTGCTGCAGTTTACTGTTTGCTGGGGCCTAATCTGTCTTAATGGGTCCAGATTTGTGCACATGAGGAGATAATTTCAATTAGTGAAGCTCAGGATGTTGCAGTTTTTGTTTAGATACTGTAGCGCCAATTATCAGATTGGGCTGCTAAATCAATGTTAATTTTGTTAAAGCCCCCTTTTTGACAACAGTGTTAAACTTTAAAATGTTTGAGATTAGTAGTATTGCCACAGATAAAACCATTGAACTGTGTCTATAAAAAATAGTACAATATTAAGTGAAGATCAGTTTTACAAGGCTCAAGCATAATATAGAACTATAGATGGAATGCTTGTTTAACAAAAATAATCAATATCAATTTTGATAACTGATAATGTAAGTAAAACAGTCATGCTAAAATATTAAATCCTTTCCTGGCTACATTGGTGGGGCCGAGGGGTGGCACAGATTGGATATATAACGGATTTTATCTGCACACACCCCTAAACCAAACCAGTGAAACCAGCAATCGCAAGTAGTGTGCCTCCACAAAGCGTGTCCACTGTCAACACATACTGACACGGTAACCAGCACAGGCAAAACCACACTTGTACAGACTGAGCCAACTGTGGTCTCAGACAAAGCCCATTCAGCCACTATATATAAAGAGAGAGAAGAAACAGCATTTGCTTTGTCTGAAAGTTTAATTAGCACAGAACATAGACTACTCAGGGATAAAAGGGTTTGCAGTGGTGAGGAGACGTAAGCCAAAATACTCCAGCCCTGTCTGTGCTATTTTAAAGATGACTTTGCGTCATTGATGTATCGTTGTTGTATCACATTTATTGCTGTTGCAGGTAGTGTGTATGATTTGTAACATGAGTTCAGGTCAGGATCTACTGCTGTATGCTGTATTAGTACCTCTGTTGGGCACCAACAGCCCTGTGTGTTGCTGTTCAGACTGATTGAGTGGTGCGCTGTTTGGCCAACTGGGCTTCCGGGCTGGTGGACTGCCCGCAATCGATTGCTCGGATGAGTCCTTCCTCTGGTGCACAGACAGAGAAATAGAGAGCGAGAGAGAGATGGAGCGAGGAGGAGAGTGGAAATGAGCGGTGTAAAAATAGAGAGCAGAGCGAGAAGGGCAAGGAAAGGGAGAGGAAACAGGAAAAAGGGAAACATTAGCTTAAATGAAAGTTTATTAGCTGTATCAGTCAGTCAGCAAGGTGGGGTGGGGTGGGGGGTTCTGCCCCAGGCCCTCTACTCTTCCTCTCCATCTATCCACCCCCCACACCACCTTCTCCTTCTACTTGTGTGTGTTTGCAAGGGGAGGGGTAGGCTTGACAGGAAAAACATTAGTTTATTGGCGAGTCGCCTGTACACAATTGGTTTGGGTAATGGTCATGTCCAGACAAATGGTGTCGGCCCTAACCATGCTATGAGCAACCAACTGCTCCGTCTGTATTCACAACAAAAGAGCCAGCGCTTGCACGGATGCCGAATGGCTCCACTGAGTGCGTGCGCGTGTTTGTGTGCAAGATTCACAAAACAACTTTTTTTTTTAACTTGCAACCGATGCGTTCTCCACAGCCTGTACATGTGATTCATGACTCGCTTGCATCCTGTGTGGAGACTGCCCTGTGATAAGGAGGAAAAAGATGGCAGCACAAGCCCCGCTCACCTCAAGGGAACAAACCGACATCTGTCCTCCAAACAAGTGACAGATAGGAGATGGGGAGGAAGGAAGAGAGAGAGAGAGAGGGGGAGGAGGAGAGGGGCAAGATGACAAGCGAGAGGGAGTAAGAGGATGAGGTCCATTTTTCATCCTTCCCTCCCTCTGCTCTGCATTACTTCGCCTGCTGTCTGATGGCAAGCTGAGCCGCTAATGTCCATTGTGTCTGAATGGGCTCATGCATGTGTGTGTGGGTAGTTGTCTGTCCTTCTGTTGATGTTCTATGAGAAAGAATGAAATGTATAGGCTTCCAGACTAGATATGCCAGCTAAATAACATGCATGCATGGATAAGGCTGTGTGTGTGTGTGTCTGTGTGTGTGTGTGTGTATGTGTGTGTGTGTGTGTATGTGTGTGTGTGTGTGTATGTGTGTGTGTGTGTGTGCTGTGGCAGCCCCTCAGCCATCCAGCTATCATCTCCCGCCAGACAGGCCCCACCAAGCCAACCCAGCTGGATAATGAGATCCATTATGATTTACGTGCCAAGAGGACAGCCAGACAGAACAAAGACATGTACACACACACACACACACACACACACACGGCTGGGTGTACATGTCTGTGTGTGTTTGTGCACAGGCTCACTGTCTCTTACTGTATGTGCTGCCACTGTTTCAAATTTCAGTTTTTTTCCATCATTTTCTTTGTGTGTTTGTGTTAGCCGAGTTAGATGCCTGTAGGGCATCCTGCAGTTGGTCCTTTTTCCGTTAGTAACTTGAGAACTCAGACTATTTCTTTCCTCCATCTTTCTCTCTCACTCACACCCTCTTTCCTCCTGTGCCTCTCCTGAAAAAGCAAACTCACTGAAAGATTGAGTCGCAAATACACCAACTCCATGTCTGTCTTTCTGCCTCCCTCTCTCTCTCTCTCTCTCCTCCACTGCCTTGTTTGAAAGGTGAAGATTAAAACATTAAAACTATGCGCTGCATCAAAAAATGGAGACCACACAGCGTCACCCTGATTGATCAGTACCTCTGCAGCACATTGGCGCCAGCTGTGGATTTATTCCAAAGTATTCCTGTGTGTGTGTGTGTGTGTGTGTGCGCGTGTGTCAGTGTGTGCATTGGGATTTGTTAGTGGAGAGGTGAAGTGTCTGTCAAACACATTTTGGAAAAGGAGCAAGCTGTTGCTTCAGTGCACTTCTTGGGAATGGGGGTGTGTCAGCTGAAGGAAAGAGGAGATGGGCCAGGACAGTTTAAGACAGGTTGGAGCTGCGGGTGCCAGGTTCGCTTTCATAGCCACAAATTATTTTAGTATGTTATTTGCAAGACAGTCTCCAAGGGTACTGTACATACTGTAAATATATTATAATCTGAAGCTGGGAGTTGCTATTGTAATATATCACATAAACAATGAAGTGAAATAGTTCCCAATGTGAGTTGTAACATTTTGGTTTTTAAAAACTCTGGGCAGAGACTTTCTGTGGTTGTTGTTCTCTATCTCTCTTTAGTTCTTATGGCTCGCACTCTTCACACTAATGAACAGCTTCTCTTCAGTTATAAAACAAACAAACCCACTTCTGCAGATGAAAATGTGAAACACATCACTTTAACGGTTCCAACAAAAGACCTGTAAGAGAATGGATGTTGGTTTAAATGAGCAGACTCTCAGTTAATATGGTGACGTTCTATACAGTAAATACAGCAAAGGTGCCATTTTGAAATGAACACACACAAGCAAATACAAATAAATGTGCTATCCACATTCATATATTAGCAACATGTTTCATATACACACACACACACAGAGCAGTGCTGCCCACTCCTTCCAAGTGCAGGACGCCGAACACAATGACGGGATTATCTGCTGTTCCTGCTTTGTGAAGTGTTCAAGTGACACCAGCTCATTTAGAGGCCTAAATGCCAAGATCTAGACTGGGGAGAGATGAAGAGAGACTGAAAGGGAAGCAGACAAAAAGAGAGAAAGGAAGCAGGGAGGAGGAGAGCAGAGGACAAGTAGGCCATAGTGAAGGAATAGGGACTGGACTATACATTCTCCTAAAGAGAATGGCTAATGACAAGGAAGAACAAGTGGATGGGGAAATGAGCAACAAGATGCAAAATCAATGAGAAGGAAGCATAAAGGATATGGATGCAGAATGAAGAGCCAAACAAGAAAAGACAGAGAATAATTCTAGCCAGAGACTCAGCCAGGACCATCACGACCTCCTGGACCTACCTGCCTTTGTATAGACACAAACACATAAAGGCACACAACCCTCTGTGGTATGCATTTCCATCATGAAATGTGATCACCGCTACTGATCCGCGAGCCAGCACTCGCTCAGCTGTGATAACCTCTGGGGGAAGGTGCAAACACACACACACACACAAACACAGACAGTGCAACTGAATACCAAGCCTTATGACCACAACACATACACACATACACACAGGGTGAGCACAGTGTGATCAGTCTAGGTAGCAGAGAAGAATCTGACATGCCTGGTTAAATTAAAAGGTCAAATAAATTAAATGAACACAGTGAATGAGCCTGCAGATGAATGGTGCAGCGGCTCAGAGGCAGAGCTCCAGAGGGTTGTCTCTAAGAAAATGAGTAGCCCATAAAGTATTTTTTATTTAATTTAACTGATAATTCTGTTTTATTACAACCTGGTTATTGCATTTATAGTTCTGACTGCCATTTCTATGGCAATAACAACAACAGCGTACTCATCAAGTTCATTTCTAAGAATGCCGCCACATCAATAAAAAAAAAATCAGAAACATAAACAGTAACTTGATCTTTTGGATTAAAAAAACCTCTAGGCTGTTCAAATTTATTCAAAAGAGAAAAGAAAGACAAATGGTAAAATGAATATCCATATTGTCCTACAACCACAACCACTGGCGTCGGGCTGCTTGTGTCCTCCCCCATGTCATCATAACAGACAGGAAGGATGGTCAACACTATCAAAACTGTAGTTGTCGTAATAAACAGAAATTATCCTTTCATTTAAGGTAAGGCATCCTATTTGGAATGAACAGTTTCTGATTAGAGCTGTTCTACAATCATGACTGTTGGAACAAACAAGGCATTTTGTATTAGACGGAGGTCCTCTGGAGCAAATTTTCACAAATGGGGCTTTCGCTCTGGAGTCGTTCACATGGAAAATTAAAGTTTAAGATCACATAACGAGGCCAAACACATATACATTAAGACATTCAATGTGATGATTGTAATGGCTGTTTTTATGTAATACCATGGTGAAAGGCAAAGCACAATGAATGCAATGTAATGGGGCTTTTTTTATCCTGAGAGTTGTTGCTGAGTCCTACTGCAGCTGAACCTCACTGTGCAGATGTGCTCACCATTCCCTCTGACAAATTTTTGTGGTTGCAATAAAATTCCAATCAGTGCAGACAAAGTGTTCATCTTCTCCATGGTTAGCCACTCTGAACTATTTTGACTTCTAAGCTGGTATGTGTGTAGTCTGTGTGGAAGCTCAACCCACAACCCCACTGTTGTGGCATGTGTCAACGCTCCAACCAGCTCGGCAACCCGCTCCAGCGTCAAAACCCAAAATGTGCTGTAACCAAAATAATTCCCTATAACTGACCACCAGCAAAACAACACTACGCCTCAGATCTCACTCTGACAAAAATACCTACCGTCAATATTTCTCCAATAAACCAATCTCAGGCGACCCACCCTCTCCCACCCCACATCTCCATATTCCTTACCAAAACAGCTCTTTGCTCACTGTGGTGCCAGCCCTAATCACTTCCCTCAGCACCAGGTGGTTCTCATTGACTGGGGCCCGGCTCCTCTGCTCCAGAGGACACTCTGCCAGAGGAAATTGGCTCATCTACACACATTAATTGCTCGTGAGCTCTATCGAGCGGAGTCGTGCGGGCTCGCCAGCGCCTGCCCTGGCCTTTTGTTCATACTGTTTGAGTGGCCAGGTTTGCTGTAGGAAAACAGCTGCTGCTGCCGCACATGCTGCATCATCCAAAGAAACAATTAGAAACACCTTTTTCCTATTACACTCCACCACTAACCAGCATTATGTGGAATTAGTGGCAGGCTATGGAATAAGTGGATTCTAATTCATGCTGTTTTTATGAGCCGTGGTTGGTGCAGTGGCTTTCCTCTGCTAATGAAGAGAATGAAAGAGAAGTGTTAATCAAACTGAGCATCTCAGCTGAGGTAATGAGTGGAGGAGAGGCCTTAGGGTGGCTCACTAGTTTGTATATATGTGGACATAGGGAAGTGACTCTGTATGCATCTGTTGTGTTATTCGGATACTGATTTTAAGGCACTGATCATCAGTGAAGCAAAAAAAAACAAAAACAAAACAGGAATGCAGGAAGTGAT